CCCCCCCCCCACACACACACACCAAAGAGATGCTTTGGCCATTTTTAGGTGTGGATCTGTGGAGAAGTCATGAACAAGTAATATCTTACCTGTTGTTAGAAGGTGATACGCGAACATCACAGTTTGGGATCAGAAGCAACTTTATTGTCGTTAATCTCAGGAAACTTCACTCAGTGCAGCGTCCAACAAGAGTAGACGTGCGCGGCGGCTGCAGCCTCACTGTGAGGCGCTGCCCTCATCGCTCGGTAACACACAGGAAGACAAACATGAGGAAAGAAGGTTTAAGGAAGATGTCCTCAGTGTCAGGTCGCAAAGAAACAACCTCAGCACAACGCAACATGGACAGAAGACATTTTGAGACAGAAGACATTTTGAGACAGAAGACATTTTGCAGGGGTGGAGGGCAGACAAAGGAGGTGAGAATGTGTACGCTACCAGAAAGTTCCAAAGTCCTGATAAAGGTGGCACAGTGTCCATCAGCCGGTTCAGCTCTGATGAGGGTCCACAGATGTTCTCGGGCGGGGGGGGGGCGGACACAGAGCAGAGCTTCATGATTTACAAACCCTCCAGGAGCAGTTTGAGATAAGTTGGTGTGTCCAAGTCAAACGAGGGAGACATTTTCAGATAAACGGTTGTTTTGGGACAGGCCGACTCTCCCGATTCATGTGGACCTTCACTTCTGCTCGGTCACTCCGTGGTGAATCCAAACAGCCACATTAGTGGTCATTCCACCAGTCCGTGCTTGTAGCCTTCTCCAAGGTTGAATCCTTCATGCCAGCGAGTTCTAGCATCTGATTCTGAGCGCACGAAGCACGGTACAGTCTTCACATAAGGCATCTTCCTAATTGGTCGACATCTCAGGTACTCGCCGATTCCAAAAAGCAGAAATCCTGTCATCATAAATCTAAGTGTACGTGTCTTCATCGTCCCCAACGGACAATACAGATTCACCCCAGGAGTCCATGATATATCCAGCTGCATGTGTCCCTTCAGGGCAGGAGGGTTCTCCTGCACCCTGTCTCCTCGTTGAGAAAATGTTATCAGTTGTGTCGCGAGACCAGCTGACCAGATCCATAATAATTTACAGATGAGAAGATGTGTAGAGAGAGGCTCTGAGACTGATTCACAGGACAAGAGCAAACGCAGGTGGGGGGGGGGGTGTTGTTACTGAAACAAACACATAATAATAATGATGGCTTTTATTCTACAACAATAACGCAACGCTTCAGTCCCTC